TATACAAAAAAATTGCATATCTATATACCAAAAAATCCACTAGAGAAAGCAATTTAAAATAATCTCATTTACAGTAAGAACTAAGAGGCACTTAATAATAAGTCTGTTACAAGGCCTTTTTGAAAAAAATTACAAAACACTGCAGTAGGACATAAAAGAAGACCTCAACAAATGAAAATATTTAGCACATTCATGGGGAAAAACTTGATAAAGATTTGGTTTCTTCTCATATTAATCTATAAATTCAATGCAGTTCTAGTCGAAATCCCAAAGGGTTTTTCAGGGATCTTGGCAAGCTGAATAAAAAGGCAAAAGTAGCCAGGACTACTTTTAAGGAAATAAGGAGAAGGGTCAACCCCCTGCCAGATACTGCCTTCTTATAACTACGAAAACTAAAACTATATGGTGTAGCACAGGGGTAGAGAACTAGGCCAGTGGGACAGAAGGCTCAGAAATAGGCTCAGGTACAAATGGGGATGAGGCGCTTAACAAAGATGCTACCAAAATTCAGCGGGTACCTTGCAGAAAATATTTAACTTGAATCTAATTAAGCCTCTGGAACTAAGTTCAAGTTCACAGGAAATACGAGATTAAATGAACAAGTTAAATGATACCATTAGGAAATACTCAGATAAAACTGAATAGAATACATTCTACAAAACAACTGGCCTTCAACCACACAAAACAGCTAAGAAAACATTTTTGGGAAAACTGGAAAAATCTGAATATGACCGAGATATTACACAACATTTGATAAATACTGTTAGTTTTTTAAGGTATAATAATGGTATTGTGGTTACATAGGGAATGTCCTTATTTTTAACATGCATAATGAAATATTCAGGAGTGAACTGTCATATCTGCAAGTTATGTGCAAATGGTTTAACAAAAACTACATATACACACATACTGATATAGGGCAAAATGATAAAAATTATCAAATCTAGATGGCTGGTATACAGGACCATCATTGTTGTTATTTATTTTTAGTCTTCTGTATACTAAAAATTTTCATAATAAAATGTCGAGAATAAGGGAAGAACATTATATATTCAATAAATGATGCTGAGAAAATTGAATGTTCTTATAAAAATTAGGTTCCTCATCTACATTTTGGAAGAAAATAAGAAAAAAGTTTATTGTATCTTAAGAAGAAAAAATTATCCCTATTCTCTTAGATTAAGGAAGAATTTCTTAAATAAGGCAGAGAGTACAAGTCATAATGGAAAGATTGGTAAATTTGATTTCACTAAATTTTTAAAAATGTTAATAAAAGTCACTAGAAACAAGTAAAAAGAAAAGTCAGGGAGATTAGAAGATACAACCCTGAAAAAATTAGTATCTCAAATATATAAGAAACTCATATATATCAATTTAAAAAGACTAGTTGAAAAATGTGCACAAGATATTAATAGAAAAATTTACCCTCGGAGAAAAAGCTCAAACATCCCATAAACATATTCTAAGTTGTGTAGTCTGGAAAGTAATCAATTAAAATGTGACACCATTTCACACACATAGAATATCAAAACACAAAAACAAAACAACTAGGATAATGCTTTGAGGGAATGGAAATTCTCATATATTAGTAATTCTGATGTTCCAGCTATTTTGAAGACAAATCTGACATTAGCCAGTAACACGGAACACTGGCTTACTAAAGCGTTCAGAAATTCCATTTCTAGAAGATCTCATTCACGTACACAAAGCTGTTCAGTGCAGTACTGTTTGTGCCAATACTAGAGACAACCCAAATGTCAACCAGCATGGAATTGGGTAAATAACCTAGGTGCGTTCATTAAATGAGATACTATAGAGAAGTCGAAATGAATGACCTAATATTCATGTCATGTCAAAGTGGAAAATCTATGAAACGAAACACTGAGTGATAAAACCAAGTTGACAGACGATACACTCAGTACCATAGCATTCACACACATTTAAAAATAGAAAGAAAAAAAACCAGAACAAACAGATCAACCAACAAATGTTTTGTTGTAAGTCTATGGCAGGCAGCTTCTCCTAGGACTCCCGATGACCCCGACTTCCTGGCATTTACCCTGTGCAGTCCCCTCCCATCTCATACCAGGCTTGCTCTGTGCAACCGACAGGATGGGGCAGAAGTGACCACATGTCACTCCCAAGGTTAGATTATAAAGAAACTGTGGCTTCTGCCTTGGGTGCTCTGTTGCACTCTCTCCTGTGGACCGCTTGCTCTGGGCGACCAGAGGACATTCCGGCAGTCCTGTGACGAGATCCGCATGGTGAGGAATGGGGGCCTTGCCCCGACAGACTTCGGATGGCTGCAGCCTCGGGAGAGACCCTGCGCCAGAACCACCCCGCCCAGCCACCCCTCGAGTCCTGCCCCTCAGAAACAGCGTGAAGTAGGAAAGAGCTGCCGCCTTTGGGGCAAGTTGTTACACGGCAACAGCTGACTACTACAAGGTATTGACACCTGCCGAGTAAAGTTTTAAATGTGTAGTAATTAGCGTAAGACTATACGCCAATTTCAGCATAAAGGGTAACTCTGGGGACGCGTCTGGGTGGGGCTTTAGCTATACTGGCTTTTCATTTCTGTGACAAATTTTTAAAGAAAATATGACAAGATGTTAGCAGTTAAACCTGGACATCCCGTAAGTGTGCTATGCATAGTATATGATTTTCCGTAACGTAAGGCATTTTATCTGTTACTTAAAACATTTCATAATTAAAAGTAACACTATTGGAAAGGAAGAAAGGCAGCCTATCTAGTCCATTTATTACAGGGCTATAGAGCGCTGTCTGGCTCCTTTAATTGCAGCCCTGAGGAAAGTCATTACTTTAATGGCTAAACAATTCGCACTGAAGATGAGACATGTATCAGCGATTCTCCCAGAGCTGGTAAAATCAAATGTGTAAGCACCGAAACCTCAAATACGTTTTTTTAAAAAGGAACAGAAAACTTACACAAGAGTACCCAACAAAAAATTCACAATGAAATGCAGGAAAAAAATGTTGCCTTGCCTAGACATGCTTAATATTCAATCATTTCCAACAGCAATTCACTTAAGAAACGCACGGTTATTATGCTCTGCAGTATTAAGTGGACGCTCTAACTGCTGTTGCCATAGTAGCCTCTACTTTAATGGTATTTAACAGGAGAACAGAAATTGTGGGCAAAATTGCTTTGGTTCTTAGATTCCCTTGGTTAAAAAGAAGTAAAATATTCACAGTTGGGAAATACAGTGATGTTTCAATCCTGCTTATACAGAGAATGTCTTGCTCAATAATAATTTAACTGGCTGAGTGAATTCACATGGGAAAGGTAAACATTTACTCATGACGAAGATTAAAAACATGACAAGTCTGAAGGTTTCAAGTCTGTTCACCGATGCAAAGTGAAGTACGTTTGCATTGATATTTAAGAAGACATTTTACAACGTGTCACGTACGTGTACTGGGTTGGGTGCTTTTTATTTACAGAGAGTATGAATAGGCCAAATATGCCAGAAGTAATTTCTCCTTTCAATATTTCTCTTCCTCCATTCTCTAAGTGTTTATTTCACTTTTCAGAAATGCCGCTGTGCTGACATGAGAACATGAAGTGTCACTTATCCGCTTCACTTACCACAGTTCCTGTTTTAAGAACATGTTTTTATTAAAAAATAATAAGCAGAATCTCTCCCTCCCTGAATAACTCCGTGGTGACCACCTGACGTCTCAGGCGCACACTGTCATCCCCGCAGCTCTCCAGCTGGGCTGAGATCGGGGCGAAGTTCCCTCCTGTCCTGTGGCGATGTCTAGCGCCCGTCAAATTCCCCCTCCGTTTCCTGCAGCTACGTGGTGATCTCGGATTTCACCATCACCCCCTACGTTTTCTTTCCTTGTCGTCAGTTCTTTTTTGATCTCACGCCTCGACTTCCCCTCCCTTCGCGTGTTTCCAGCACAACTTTGGGATTTCCTTCTGTTCCTGACTTTAAATCCAATATGCCAACCTCTGTTCAGTCCTTGGAAATCCCATTTTGAGACACTGCAGCTTCCCAGCCCCTTCCCAGAGCTGACTCTCCTTCCCCTCGTCCCTGGCAATTAATTCCACCTCACGCCCACTTCTGATTTGCGTCTTCCCTGCCGGCTCGGAGTACTATTAGTCACAAGTGCCTGCTCCTCCCATTAAACCACGTGCTGCGTGAACGCCCCGTTTCAGGAAAACTGTTGAATCTGAAGACACGTTCAAGCTGAAGGGCTTTAACCATCCTATTGACTTTCTTGCGCTCTCCTGGTTTCTCTGAAGACCTGCCCAACCATCGAGCTAGATTTTGGGGAATAACGCTGTCATTCCACCCCTACTTGCCCCTTCGAACGACTTCCACGAGAAACAGGGCACCCAGGTCTCATTATTTTAGGATTTTGAGAAATAGCAATGATAGGTGTTTCTTCTTATTTCGTAATGAGGACTGCTTTGAGGGAAAACAAGCATCCACAGCTTATCTAGGAATCTTCTTTTTCACTCATTTTGCTCTAACTATCAAAAAACTGATCTTCAACACCGAGGCTCCCCAGGGAATTTTTATTCCCGGTAACTGTAATGACTAAGACTTATGGGGCATCTGCCACGTGCTAGCATTGGACTGCAAGTTGTGCAAGGATGATCTCATTCAATCCTCGCAGCGACACACAACCCGCTTTATTGACAAGCTCTTGATCACCAATAAAAGTCACGCGTGAAACAATTCAGCGGCAATTGACTTGTCATCAAGAATTGCTTCCAAGTTAGCAAATTCACACAAAGGGACACGAGTCCAGGCTCCCTACCCGACGCGAGAATCGCTCACCTGCACAGGGACTTGCCGCGAAGCCCACCCTCCTCCTCGCTCTGTCGAAGATGACGTAGAAGCCCTCCATCACGGTGGCCCCGATCACCAGCGCGTTCGTGGAAGGGGAGATGCCAAACCGGTAACATTCATAATTCAGGCCGGCGCCCATCATGGGCTGGATGTACAGCTGCTTGTTGAAGAGGGGAGAGCAAACGAACAAGAACAAGCACAATCAGCAGCGTCCCAAAACCGTGGAGGTCACACGTGTGCTCAGGACCCTCCAGGGTGCACGGAGGAGTCACCTGGAAGGAAAGATGATGGCTTATCCCTGGCCCCCAGGAGACGAGAAGACCAAAAGCACAGTGACTACACACAGGTGCGCACACCCAGAAGACACCTGTCTACCTGCTCGCCTGCCCAGCCAGCCATCCACCCAGCAGTTGAATACTTACCATGGTCAGACACTTTCCTCCACACCAGCCATGCAACTATGAATAACACCCGGTCCCTGCCTGCGGGGAAGCCAGGTAGAAACCACGGGGTGGGAAGTGCCCCCGCAGGACCCATCTATCAGCAGTGGTGACCAAGCTCCCCCTGCTTGGACACCCTTAATTCACTGGGCCTCTACATGGGGCACTCCTCTTCCTCCTAGCTGTGTTGGATGGGCTTCAGCTTCCTCACCGGCAAGCATCGGAGCAGCCCGGGCGCTGGCCTCCTCTCAGTCTTCCCTCCCTGGCCACCCACCCGGCCCCGCAGCCCTAAACTCACTCCTGTTCTGGGCCGAGACTCCCAAATCTTTACCCCCGGCCAAGACCTGGCCGTCACTGCACGGCTCTCACATCTGATCACCTGTCAAATGGCATCTCGTGCACGTGTGACATTTAAACACCTGAACTCTGGATACCTCCCCCAAATCAGCTCATCTCCCAGGGTCTCCGTCTCAGCAAACTCATGATTGACCCAGTTACTCAGGCCCTGCTGCGCCGGGTCAGCCCCACCTATCTCTCACCCTGCATGGACACCGTAACCAGATGCCCGCGGGCCTTCCTGTGAAATCCCATCTGGATCTAATCACCCCCGCGCGCCTGCCCGGCCATCAGCTCCCTGTTTCCCATGATCCACCGCGATGGCTCCTAACTGGCCCCCGTGGCAAAGAGGGTTTTAAAAATAGGCAGCCGGCGGAGGCAGGATGATTTGCTCGGCAGGAAGAGGGAGACGTGACTGCCAGCAGCGAGGAGACGCGGTGCCCACGGGTGAGCAGCTCCCGTGCGCAAGGACCACTCCCTGCACGGGCCGTGCAGCGTTAAATAAACACGAGACGTGGCCCTCGAGATCCCGGAGCCAAGAGTATGTGAGGAAATGGGCCAAACCCTAAAATAATCAGTGAGCAATAATATCCTATCAGCAATAACAATTTGTTTGCTTTCTCATATTAATAGCAAAATATTCAAATGCAGGCAATTAGAGGATAGAGTAGCTTAATAGGACAAAATGCCACATATCTGGAAAAAAACCAACAAAGTGCAAAATGAGTAAGGAAGAGAACATTCCCCTGAGTAACGGCCTGTGAGGGCAAAGGCAGGAAGAAAGGCTGGGGGATAAACAGTGAGTCTCACCCAAGAGCCCGGGCTGCTGGCTGGGCTGGGGGCGCTGGGTTTTGGAGGGAGCAGAGCAGACTGAGAGAGGACAGGGGTGGGGGGGGGTTTGAGGGGGCTGCCCTGAGACGGCTCTGAAGGAGACAACGCAAACTGAGGCTTCTGACGGTGGGGCCAGGGCTGGTCGTTAGGATCGGAAAGCACAAGACGATAACTTTGTGGGAAAAAATCAGAATTCCCCAGTGGGCTGGGGGCTGCTTTTTTAACAGACCAAATAGGATTTGGCCCATGTGTTTCTGGAAAATAACGTTGGGCACAGACGAAATTTAAGATAATTGCCTCGAACTGGACTTTTTCTGCACTAGTGATCATTTGCCCACCTATGATTGCTGATGTCTGAAAGGTGCCAGGTAGGGGCCTGTCCTAGAACTCGGGTGACAAGGAGCCCTGACGGCTGCCCTCAGTGTCAGCAAGGGCGCTGGTGGGGCAGAGACACCCCTCTAGGAAAAGACCCCCAGACCCACCCCCCCAACCCCCAGCTCGGCAGGTGGTGCGTGCAGGGCTCTAACCAGGTGACGTTCCCAGCCTCCCGTGGGAGCCCTCGCCCAGCGCGGCAGGGGAAGAAAAGGAGTGGTGATGTTGGGTAAGTGATGAGAAAACAGCAGGGAAAGAAGATTTTGAAAAATCAAAAATGTGAACACGTCAAGGTCAACCAAAAACTATCTCCCATCTCATGAGTGAAAGCAGGAACGGGTTCTTAGTGGAGATGCGCGGATGAAAGGGAGAGCCCCACACCGCCCCGTCACGCTGCCGGCCGCCCGCGCTCAGCCCTAAAAGCGGCTGACACCCCAGCGAGCCTGCCGGCTGTCGCCTGCCCTGGACGGAGGGATTTCCCCCAATGACTGCCTTGTCCTCCTGCTTCCTGGACTCCCGGCCCTGCCGGCCGACCCCCAGGCCATTTAGTCACCAGCACAGCCCGCCTCGGTCCTCAGGCTGGGTCTGATATTAGCTACGAACCACACTGATGAAATAACGTCCCCATTCTTCTGTTCTACTGGCCAAAATGTAATCACCAAGAGAACATTTTTTAAAGATGTTGAAAACGTATCATTCCAACATCACTCTGTGCAGTACTATTCATCCCAGGATGAAAACGTCCACAGCAAGTGTTATTATTTCTCCTTCACAGTTAGAGACAAACACAGAAAGGGCCGAGGGATCCGCTCAAAGTTACAGCACGAGTCAAGGGCGGCGCTGAGAACGTAACTCAGGCCTCTCGTGCCCGGCTCGCGTGCCCTCGCCGGCTTGTTTTCCTCCTGAAGCTTTCGGTCCTCTCCCCAGGAAGGTGTCTCCTTTTCCGGAACATACATCCCACATGTAAGTTGAAAAGGGGAAGAAGGCAGGATTACCATTTACTTTTTCCTTCTGAAATTATTCCTCCCTCCTTATCCCCTAATCCAAACCCCTCTATCCCAGTCATCAGATTACGACAAAGACAGCAACGTGCCCATCTGACAAATAGTTATCGTGCACTTGTCCTCCACCGCCTGGCAACGTTAGAGAAGGAAGGATGCTCTTTTAAACACACGGTTTTTATCTTTGAGGAATTTATAATTAATTGGAGAAGAAATATAAGTTGTTGTTGAAGAAAACAGAAGTCCAATGAAACAGGCCACAGCATACGATGTCCCCTAAAGAAAGGGTTCCGTGCCCGATGAGCGGACTAGAAAATATGCATCATGAGATTACAGTGCAAGCTCACACCCGGGTTGTTCTGCTCAGCAAAGCTGCAACAAAAGCCGGAGTTGTGTGAGTTGGGTCTGTAAGAAAGGGAAGCATTTGGACGTACAGATGTGATGAGGAAGGGAGAGCATTTCAGGCTGGGGGTTGGCGGAACACAGGTTGGGAGACAGTTGCAGGCAAGAGGCCCTGGAGGCCCGCGAGGGCCCAGGGGACTGTCTGAGTGCGGCAGGAGACGGGCTGGGGAGCCGGGGGCCTGGCAGGGACTCACGCACAGCCACGCCAGGGAACGAGCTGCCGTATGGAAACCGTGGGGACCCAGTGCTCGCTCACAGCTGGGGAGGTTCAGAGGAAAGCGGTGCTTTAGGAACACTAATCTGACAATAGTTAAAAAGAAGGGAGAGTGGGGGCTTGGGAGGCACAGACAGCGCCCCAGGCTGCTGAGGTGGTGACAGCCACACAGGAGGGAGGGCCACGGCCATGGAGGGGCAGGCAGGGGTGAGACTCAGGACTGAGGAAGCCAGAACTTGGCCTATTTAACTAGTTAGGACAGAGAGGGCATTCTCGGGTATTGGAATTATAGGAAAAAAATGATTGTCTTCACCTCTGACAATCCAGCTTTATTCTTTATTCACTCATAAACAAGAGAAAAGCTTATAATGGTGGTGTGGTAGACGCGACAAAAATGTCCCCAGTCCCTCGCCTTCCCATGCAGCCACAGTCCCTGGATCCGAGCTCCCCCTCTGAGAGGGCGTCTGTCTCCCACCCGGGAACCTGGGCTGGCCTTGGCCTGTCTGGTCACACCATGTAGTACCAGTGGCCAGTTCTGGGCCGAGACTTTAGGAGCCCCCGTGTGTTCTCTCTCTAAGAACCCTGTGACCACGTGTGAGCCGGCCACGGCATGGAAGGACATACGTGGCCCCATCACTCTATCGACCTCACCGCCAGACCCGCAAGGGGGCCAGCCTACGCCAGCCGAGGCTGAGGCCGACCAGCAGCCGACCAGAGACACGTGAGCGTGACCTGCCGGGACTCACGAGCAGTGAGAAACGTGGTGGTTTGTTACGCAGCATGATGGTGGCAACAGACATCTGATGCAGGCGTGAGAGATAATACACGCATGACGCATGAAGTGCTTTCGCTTCTGCATGTTACGTGTCAAACAGAGAAAAGCATAAATTCGGGTGCCTACCTGAGGCAGGATAGTTATACGGAACGATCTGCTGGAGTTCTCGTCTCGCAGGTAGATGGAGATCTTGGGGAAGTAAGACCAAGGTGTTTCGGAATTGGTCCAGCACGCCAGCTGGGATCCAGTCCAGAAGCCGTCAGAGAATTCTGGAATCTGGACAAAACGAGATCACGTGGGGAACAGTGACTCGTCAACAGGAAGCAGCTTCAGGCTCTCCTAGCCACCTCGCCAGATGCCCACAGGGACAAACAACGTTTAATTTGGACAGAACAGCAGGGACCTCAGTCCCCTAGAAGAGTGACGGTGACGACAAAATGATAGTCATTAATGCCGCCAAGACGCACGAAGCTGTTGCCAGTAACAGGCACCATGGCAATAGCTTTGCAGCAGTAAGTGCTTTAATCCTGAACCGGTGTAATAACATTATCCCTCCCACTTTACACATGAGGAAAACAAAGCACAGTGAGGTGAAGTAACTTGCCCAAGGTTGCACAGCAGCAGACATTGGCTTTTTAGGAGAGAGAAATCCTAAATGTGGCCCTCAAGGCCCTTTCGGGCATCACTCTGAATTCCAGGGGCCCAGGGTGGGCTCTCTGCTCTTCTTGAACACCTTCCTCCTCCTCCAGAGCTCGGCTCAGACACCAGCTGGCCCAGGAAGCCCCCCGGCTCCCCCACGTAGCACTGCTGCACCCCCGAGCACCCCTCCGCCTGTGGCGGTTCACCATTGACAGGTATCGCGGTGACCGACCGCTGTCTTCGGCACCAGAATCTAGTCCTCTCAGGACAGGGGTCTGGTGCCCGGCCCCCAAGTCGTCCTGGCACACGGAAGAGACTCGGGAAATACTTGCGGGAAAAGATGAACGCCACCCAGGGACAAAAAGGTGGCCAGCAACACAAGAAGGACATCCACCTGCGGCTCTCACCAGGGACCAGAAGAGACGTGCCACCTGCCACGTGCACTCGCTGCTGAATGGGGACGTTACCGACACCCGCACTCTCCCACAGCAGAGGTTTCTGAGCAGAGTCTGCCCTGGGATGCCAGCCCCCAGGGGAGGACTGCATCTGCCGTCTGCCGCAGGACAGCAGCCCTCGTGGCAGAGCTGGGAGGGAGCGGGATGGGTGGGCAGAGTCAGGAGGGACCCCGGCTGGGAGGAGGGAGCTGGGCTGCAGGGCCAGGCAGGCGCGAGG